TGTTTTTTTTTTTTTTTTGGTCGTTTGTTTGGTGGAAGTGCATAGCACTAGACTATGGGTGTAATGAACCCAGATCGTGAGAACAGTTATCAACAATGCAAGTCCAGATAATGTCAACAGCTGATGAGTACCAATAATCAAGGTCGTGCCAGACAGAATGAGACGAGATAAACATACACAGACGAAGACGAGAGGAGGGAGGTTAGACAAAGGAGAGGAAAATAAAATGCCACTCCTGCTTTGGCTCCCTCCTCCAACGCCACTTCAATAATCAACAGTCTGAACGAGTATCTGAAGTAATCTCAATGTGCCACATGGCACTTCTAATTAGTCTCTCATCAGCGCTGGAGCAATGGCATCATGAGGACCACCAGGTACACATCACGATCTCTCCACAGTCCTGATCTTACTCTCCCTCGTGTCCAGTCACCTCATGTAAGTAGTGTGTACAATGCCACATCAGCAGACGAGACAGGTGGCATAAGCCACATCATCAATGAAGACCAAGAACAGCTCTACGTATACAGGAGCAGCGCCACATCAGCATCCACGTAGACCACAGGCAGCGCCACTTATACCAGAGAGCGCCACGTCAGCATGCCACGTAGACCATAGGCAGCGCCACATGTACCAGAGGCAGCGCCACATCAGCATACCACGTGGACCATAGGCAGCGCCACATGTACCAGAGGCAGCGCCACGTCAGCATACCACGTAGACCATAGGCAGCGCCACATGTACCAGAGGCAGCGCCANTGGACCATAGGCAGCGCCACATGTACCAGAGGCAGCGCCACGTCAGCATACCACGTAGACCATAGGCAGCGCCACATGTACCAGAGGCAGCGCCAGGTCAGCATGCCTGGCGCACAGTGCCAGCGTCGCCTCTCCCTCGTGTCGTCGTCCGCAGCTCTGATGCACAGCCAGCGTCGCGCTAGCATACTGCCAGCGTCAAGTCAAAGTGGAGCCAGCGTTGAACCAGCATAGCAAGACTGAATGTTGACCACCTCGAGGCCAGGCTTTAAGTAGTGTTTGGCGAGGCTCTCTGGCCTCGAGTCTCCTCCCCCCAGTCGTCCAGATTGAGTCACAGCCGAAGGCCTGGATCGTACAGTTGCAGCATTTCCCCTTGGACTTAATGCTGTCTGGGTACCTGCATACAAACGAGTGTGTGTGCTTGACCGGCGCCCTGGACTGGGTACCTGTGGACTTTGACTGTTGGGTTTGCGACAGTCGCCCAGGCCCTGAATCCCTGTGTGGGGTCCCTTACCTCGTTTTTGGCCTGGCTGAGGGCGGCTAGGTCGGCCCTCAGATTTCCTCGAGACATATGGCATGGGTTATTGCAATGGGCCTCGGCCCGCTACACTAGTCTCCATGCATTTGAAGTTTGAACGCTTTCTGGACCAAGTGCATGTGGACGAGTCCAACGTTTTGAACGCATCAGGTCCAGAAAGCGCCCAAGTTCATGTAGAATGCATCAGGTCCAGAAAGAGCCCGAATGCATGTTGATTGCTGTGTAGTGGAGCGAGGCCCTTTGTTAGCTGAAAGTGGGTGGGTCAAGCTGCTTGACTTCCAGAATGCATTTGGGCTCTTTCTGGACCTGATGCATTCTGGGCGCTTGGACGTCTTAAACTTTGTTCGCTCTCCGGCGCCCATGCATGCTGATGTCCTTTTTTAATAGTAATTTATTTATTTATTGTTTATGCAGGCTGATGTCTGAATGAGCCTTTTCCTGGTGTCTTCGCGGACCTTTTTGCGAAATCTGTGTGCCAACTTTAGCGGCTTACCTCCCATGGCGGGCAAGTGATGCTGACCTCTGTTCGTACAGAAGGTGATGGGCTCCATTCTCTCTCTCTCTCTCTCTCTCTCTCTCTCTCTCTCTCTCTCTCTCTCTCTCTCTCTCTCTCTCTCTCTCTCTCTCTC